GGAATTGAAGAAGTATTTGCTTATGCAATAGTGCAATACGCAGGAGCTTTGCTTATGCAATAGTGCAATACGCAGGGACAGAGTCAGAGCACTGGGCCGATACAAAGAATATTTTTGGGAAAAAATTTACACGGAATTTTTTACACTAAAATTATAGACTTTTTTTAAAATTTCGGTTGGGCCAGGGCCAGGGTTGGCCCTCCCCTAGCTACGGCCCTGGCAATACGCCAGTATGAGTTATTTGGTAAACACTAAATACTTTGGTGTTAACATTTATGCTACAGATATCGTTCTTATAGATAATGCTACGAAATAATCACTTCTGTATTTTTTTAATAGGAGCGAACAATCCACCCTGGTCTTAAGCAGGGATTTGACCTCTTTGCTTTAGTCATATTCATGTATCCAGTATCCTCAACATTTACCTCATTTCTTATTGCAGATAACTGTAACCCCTCTTGGCGCTTTATCTAATGCTGAAATAGATGGGGTGGAGTTCTTCAAAGAATGGTTGCCTAGTGTGAGCGAATCATCTTTTTCTAAAATGTGATGTTTAAGTTTGCTGCGAGTACGAAAACCAATTATCCAGGACATAATGATATCAACGGAACTGGAAAATAGACTTGATTATGATTTTTTAGATTCTTAGGGTCATATGATTGAATATTCGATCTGTAGTATATTATTGAGATACATTGAGCTTGAATTTCCTTGTATGTATAAAATTGACATTATGGTTCTTTAGGATTTGCTGTAAGATATAATGCAGCAAAAACATGTTATATACTCCCTCCATCTCTAAATTATTGGCCAGTTTCACTGGTCCTATAGCTTAAGAAAGTAATACTACGTATAACATGCGACTTGAGTTTTAATTACCAGAAAGAGAAGCACTTGAACAACATGTTGCTTTCTTCAAAATAAAATCAGTAATAATTTTGAATCGGAAGAAAAAGAAAAGCGTGTCGATAATAAGGGTGAACCTACGGCTGGATTCGGGTCCGGGCCGGGCCTAGGCCTGGGCGGGCCGCCGGTTCTGAATAGTTGGGCCCGGGACCGGCCCGGGTAGCTACCGGGCCGGGCCGGGCCTCGGGATTTCTTTTTGCTTTCCTAAGTATCCCTGACCCCCCTCACCCCCACCCCCCTCACCCCCCAAACCCCTCCTAAACATCAAGCCCAACCCGGGTGGAACCCATAAAAAATGAAAAAACAAAAAAAAAATCAATTGGGCCCAAACTGGGCCGGACCTCCTTTTCACTGTCCCGAGCCCGCCCCGCTTTTCCTAGCTAACCGGGCCTTAGACCGGTTTGGGGCCCGCAACATTGGACCGGGTTGTTCCCGCAAAGTAGCGGGCTGGGTGGCCTGAACCGAGTCCAGGACTAGGTGAACCTATATAGTCTGATTCCTAAACAGGCTGGTTCCTAGTTCACCTAAAAGCACCCACTATGGGGAGGTCATTAGAGATAATAAAAAAAATGATCCCACTTGATCCTCACTATGGGAGTATGCATGGACCCGGGGCCGGGCCGGTTCCGATTTAGGCCTGATACCGCCTGGCTTTTTTTTGGGAAGGGTGAACCGGAACCGGCCTGGGTAGGCAGCGGTTCCGGGCCGGGCCGGTTCAATGTTTTTTTTTTCTTTTTCTTTTCTAATTAACCCCGACCCTCCCCCCTTCACCCCCCCACCAAAACACCCAGCCCAACCCGGGGAAAACAAAAAAAAATTGAAAAAAAAGGCCCCGACCGGGCCCAAACCGGCCGGGCCGGTTCCATTTTTGGGCACCCGAGCCCGCTGAGTTTATAACCCGGTGCGGTCCACCCGGGCCGGTTCAACACAATACCAGGCACGGTCCGGGCCCGGGTTGGGCGGCCCGGTTTCGGTCCATGGCTATATGGGAGCTCATGAAGTGATCGATCAAAATGCAAGGTTGAGAATGAGATTTCACAAATATTTTTTAACTAAGCAATTTGTCCAATTAGAGAAAGCCAAGTGGCTTTTTATTTAGAAAAAATAGTGGCATGCGAAATAGATGACTTCTCTTCCCAATCAATATAGCCACCAACCCTATCAACTATCCCACAACTCTCTAATTTCATTTATTATTCATTAAATTTAATTTATTGTAAAAACAATTATACCAAAAAATTAGATTTTGGCCCTCTATAAATAGACACCAATGAAAGATATGTTTAGTCACTTCGAAATTTACCACTTCTTTCCCTCTTGCATTTTATTTTATCTGTTTTAAAATATTTTTCCTCTGAAAATGGACCCAACCGGTTCTCTACCTAGATACAATGCCAATAATAATTAATTATAGTGGGTCAAATGTGGATTTTATCTTCCCTTTTCAAATTATATAAATTAATAACGGTAGATTCTACCATAAATATGGGGAGAGAATGTACAAGTTTTAAGTGATCTAGGTCACCATAGTGGGGAGAAAGTGTGATAGGTTAGAGGGGATTAAGGGGGTGCTTGAATCTGATTCTTAAAACAGATTCTGCTTTCTGAAAGAGCAGAATCAGAAGCTTGAGTGTTTGGCTAAAAGTGCATAAGTGATTCTGGTGCTCTCAATTTACTCCTAGAATCAGTTTTTTTAGAATCTGGGGGTAACCAGCTTCTGAAAACTGATTCTGATTCTGATTCTGCTTCTTCTTTAAAAAAGAAGCAGCAGTTCCAAACACCCCTAAATTTTTTGTGGGAAATGATGTGGAAGAGAGAGAAGGAGATCATGTCATCATGGATGCTCTCACCGATTTCGGGGAAGTTTTGAACTTTTGATACGGTTCTTGGGGGTCTTTCATGTTATTGCGCTCTTACAATGTATTACTTGTATGAGTTATTGACTTATTGTACATGATCTTACGACATCACAATCTATCATATTACTCCGTTTATATTATTACAACATACAATATTACAATTATGTAATTACAATTACATAATCTTATGCTATATTGCACCGAGTAATAATTTATAAATATATTAATGAGTTACACAAGGGGAATATATTAATGAATCGGTTGATTATACAAGAGAGGAATATATTTATAATTCCGTTAAATTACAAAGGGGGCGAATTGTGTCTAAGAGTATAAAATAAATGCACGGGTTTAATGAAGAAAAATTCTTTCACTCTAGGGATTAAAATTCCATCTTCCTTGGATGAATATAAAACTTTTTCACTAAAAGACCATTTTTGTATAAAATAAAATAAAATTACAAGTACACAGACTATCTTACTCTTGAGCCAATTCAATTCAAACCTCTTCAAGTAGAGTTTTGTAATCTTGTCATGTGGAAGGTGGTTCTCAACTTTATCACAAAGTCCTTACCATACTCCCTAATCCAATGGAGAATTCATCTTAACAGATATTGCTTCTCAAAATACAATTAAGAAATAGTCTTTTGAGAATGTGTTGAGACTACGACAAAGCCCTTACCTCATACTCCGTATTTAAAAGATCTTTCCTTAAAATTGTTTTGCCTCGTTAGAAAATGATTATACACAAAAAGTTCGTGATCAGCTAATTCTTCATTATATAAAATTTATTTGCTCATTAATATGACTTTCAAGTATATTCCACTTTTCAACTTGTTTTATGAAAGTATTTGCTCACTAATATGAAGCATATATTTATTTGTTTATCTGGTGGAGATATTAGACCACACTAAGGCTCTGTTTGCAACCCCTTAATTTAAGTGATTGTGGTTTTTTTCTAAGAAAAAAACACTTATTTTACCAAACTCTACCAACTTTTACTTTCTCGGTTTTCGTGTAGAATCTACTTTTTACTTTTTCTATTACACAAAAAGCATTCATTTTACCAAACACTACCAACTTTTACCACTAATCACTTTTTCCCAAAAAGTACTTTTATTTAAGCACAAGCACTTGCAAACAAAGCCTATCTCGCTCGTCATGCCGATTTCGCGTCATTAGGATAGAATGTATCCCTTGCCCCTTTTCCTATAACCAGGAGGATTTCCCTCCATTTTAGGATTCCCCTCTTCTCCTCTTTTCTTCTCCGGTTCTCCCTAACCTAGAATAGTTTAAAGACTTCATTAAGCTATTTGTACATGTAAAAATGGTGAGACAATTAATAAAAAAAAGTGTTGGTTTGAATTTAGCATCAAAAGTTCTATAATTTTTCATCTTTTCGGGCGTTCACGTAAAAATAATACTCCCTCCTTTTGGAAATTATTTTTTGTTTGTTACACTTTCTATTTATAGTAAGTTTTTCGTTTTAAAATACTCAATTAGTTTTACTTCTTCTATTTTTTATATTCTCTTTCATACTTTTTCACTCTCTCCCCTACTTTTTTACACCGTTCACTACACATGCTATTTTTTCCTTAAGCAGTGTGTCAAACCCTATTGTAGTAAAGTAGAATACAAAGGTAGTATGTTACTAGTTTAATCGTCCTTGGACTATAGCTATATTTATATACAATTATCCAATAAATTCGTGTTAAAATTAACCTCAACATACTCTTTATGAAACCGTTTGTGACTTTGCTTTGAAACATTCATCCTTTTATTTTGAAGACTTCTTGTACGAAAAAGATTTAGTAGGTGCTTCCTTTTATAAGAGATGTAATTATTTATCCTCTTTAAGGAAAAACATTTTTGCTTTGGAAACTTGCCTTGCATGAGGAGATACACGATCTACCATTTTTTATTTTCAGAAATCCTTTTACTTTAATTTTAAAGCTTGATTTCTGATGAAGATTTTATATTGGGCAGATATATTCTCTCATAGGTGTAGAGAATGGTTTTCCTTAGTTTATCCTCTTTTTTGTATGATTTTTGATTATTTCCTTAAAAGAAAAAAATAATCCTTTTAAGTTTCGCGTAAATCATGATCAAATTTGAGTGGAAAAGGAAAATTATTCTTAAGAAAGCCGGTTTAATCATTTTTGAATGAGTAGTTCCTAATTCAAGGCTTCCGGTTTAATCATTTTTGAATGAGCAGTTCCTAATTCAAGGCTCGGGTAGAGCTTGCTGGCTTGTTCCAGAATGTGAGTTCCTTAATTCTCTTCCTGCATCCTTTTATAAAATAAATGTAGCATTGATTGTTTGTCATCAACCAAACAATATACTTTGTTCCAACACACACATTACGAAGTATCAATATATTGATGTATTACATTAGATCGGATTATATTTGAAATTGGTTCCGCATGTCCATTATAGTTATAGTCCTCAAATTTCGAATCTGATCCAAGTAAAAAAATAGCCGCTTTCGTAACCATGCTTAACTTTAGTCGAGAAGGTAACCATATAATTAAAAGTAGATGTCACTACTCATCTTCTTGAGCATATTATAAACTAAATAATACAATGCATTTTCACATCTTTTCAGAGCACCTCTTGAATTTTGATACATGTGATGACACTACCAAAGATATACAATTAAAAACCGGCCTAATCATTGACAGGTAAGAGTCCAAAGTTCCAAAATGGGGAAGTAAACTACCTACAGATAAAAGATGTGTTGCTTACCATAATTTGAAACCTATACTATAAAATTCAATAATTATCAACCTCAAGAGCATGCATCTGAATTATCAAAAGTAGGCATCGTGTTCTATTAGATTGTTCTTGTTAGCACCAGGTGGTCCTAACTTCGCTAAGCAGGGATGGATTTAGGGGGCGCGCGGGGGGCGACCGCCCCCCTTGGACTGAAAAATTTCTACCATATATATAATATTTTCATAAAACTTTCATAATTTAATTAGATTCGCCCCCCCTTAGCTTTTAATTTTCAAAATTAATATATAGTCTTACATAATGTAATACTTAATTGGATATTTAAAAGAAAGAACATCTAATATAATTTACATAACTCGTTGTTTAAGATTTATGATACTTATTATATAAGAATTCCTAGTTTTGTAATGTGTAATTATCTTTATTAGATAACAAGTACTCAATTTTGTAAAATATATATCAAACAATATTAAATACCAGACACACTAATTACACAGTTTTTAGATCACGTGAAATGAATCCAAAATATAAATATTTATTGACATTAAATTACATAATTCATTTACTTCTTGCTTTCTAAAAATAATTTATTGCATATATAATAAAATTTAAATTATTATAGCATTAATACAAATATTAAAATATAATATGCACCATATAGTGTGTGTATGTGGTGCATATTATTCTAAAAATAATAATCTCATATATACTACTATTGTAATATTAAGAAAACTTCTCATGAGTCATGACTCACGAACACCCTCCTTGATGGACAAAAATTACAATTCAATAACCGATTCATAAGATTAAACAATATAGAAGTTATTAAAAATGTATTGGTTGATGTATTTGTCATTGTCTAAATTTAGAATGTAATAGATTTATATGTCGTTGCGGGATATATATGTATTAATGTCATTTTTTTTTTATATAAAAATAGCAGCATAGCCCTATAGTAGTGAAAAAATTTTGCCCCGCTAAGGGAAAAAATTTCGTCCCACTACACTAACGAAAAAAATTTTCACCCCCTACACTAACGAAAAATTTCGCCCCCCTTGACCCAAAATCCTGGATCCGTCCCTGTCGCTAAGTAATCCAGAACTTCTAAGAACAAGATGCAAGTCCGAGACACTGGAATAATCCAGAACTTCCCACCGAGTCACTATAGGTTAGAACTTCTTATACATTTCATTATGCATAAGAAGTCGCCTTTAATTGATTTATTGAAATAGGAGAGGGTGTTGCATATTGAGACCTTTTGTGCAATTATAATACTGTGATAGTATTTTAAAACTAGAGCAAGAGAAGAAAAAACATTATTTAAATATGATAATAATTAGGTATTTATAATATTTTAGGAATTCGCTCTCTATTAGTTGATGTAGCAATTATTTGAATATAATGGTTCCAGGAATTTGTAATATTGTGATCATTTTTTAAAAATTGATATGACAATTATTTGTAGATAAGAATCACAAAAAGCCAAACCTCTTTTCAGGTCTATGCAAAAAAATAAAAAAATTGTAATATATAAATATTTTGTAATGTATACAATTTTCTTTATAGTTACTTCGTACAAACATTTATCTATGGATACTACAATACGCATTTAACATGATTTATATATTTTACTAATAGTTCTAGGTATTAAAAAACTATATACTATTGTAAAACAGAAAAGTCTATCAAGACTTATGCGAGCGATCTTAGTTTTTTTCAACATCCATATTATTTAAGATGCAAGTAAGATATAAATTAAAATCTTTAAACCAAAATTATTATACGAGTATGAAAAAGGTTTTTATTTTTTTATTTGCCTTTGCAAAGTCTCGGGTAGCAGGCTCGAGATGACTTTTGGGATTTTATTACTGGAAAACGGAGCAGGATTTTGATTTTTTTGCCACGCTTGTTTTTTTACTTTTTTATGATGTTGGGTGCTTTGTTTACTTTCAGTTTGTTACGTAGTATTTTTTTGCATTGTAAAACTTTGAGCTTGGATTTGGGTGACAGGAAGTCTGCGGTGGTCGTCTTTGACTCATTTGCGTCCATTAATGGATCTACGAGCTATATTGCTTCTGTTGAGATGATTAACTCTGAGTCTGATTATTTACATATATTTAGATATATTTTTCGGCTCTTTCTCTCTCTAGGGCGGGTTTCCACCGCTAGGGTTTTTCCTCCGCTATCGTTTTATAACGAGGAGCGGCCGCCGCAGGCGGGCTTAGTCCTACAAAGTTTCTTCTTCCGCCATCAATTGAGCGTTTCTTCTTCTTCTTTTGCTTTGCGAGATTAAGTGGAGGGAAGAGGATGCTTAATCTCTGGCGGCCGAAGGTTGTGCAGGGACGGAAGATGGATGCTTGGTCTTTGGCGGCCAAAGGTCATGGACGAAGCGTTGAGCTTGAGGTTGGAACAGATCTGGATTCGAGGTCATTTGTGTTAGGTGGCGACAAAGAAGGTTTGGTAGAGAACCTGATGAATAAGAGACAACGTGAGGAAGAAACTTCGGTACTGCTGGACCGTCCACCTCCAGAACCGCCGCCATGGAGTGCAGTAGAGTCTAGGATTTGGAAGCATCTTTTTAATTTTACCGTTTGCTTGCGTTATATTTTTCACGATTAGACTGTTTATTTTTTTGCTGCCTACTTTTATTATTGTAAGACTCTTGCATTACGATTGAGTGAGGTTTACTTCATTTCCGAATGCTAATGTTATAATTCTGAGTTTGATTCGAGGGACGACAATTGTCAACGGTCTTTTTGTTTGTTTAGCTCATATCTGTATGCTTTGATGATATCAATATAAGCCATTTTCCACAAATAAAAAAATTAATTGAGTTTGCAGTCGGTAGTACAAAAACATGCGTGAAATCAATTAATTACATGCGAGCATAGTTATCACAGACATGATTACAATATACGGAGTAATTTCGAAGGATTAAAACATCTAATGCGCAATTTTGAAGTAAATCATGTGCGGAGAATGTATTAGGCTCCTCTTCGAAAGGCTGTTGAGAATTTGAAACCTCAGAGCTTATTTTTTTTTTCCTTTCTTCACCCTACGCTTTTTCTGTTTCTGGCGATTGGCTAGCCGTGCGACACCATTGATTGATTGTCTTGGTGGAATCGAGCTTACTTACCGGCGAGGTAAGGTCACTGGAATTTCTCATGCGCTGCAGGACCCTCTACATTGCACCAAGATTTTATTTTTTAGGTCTTGGATGTTCCGTAGCTCTATAGTTTTTTCATTTGTTTCAGATCTGATATGCTACTCTGAAGAGTGAAAGGAGGGGTATCCTTCAAATTTGATGGGGTCAATTTAATTCAAACTTAATTGACTTTAAGGTTTAGTTTTCATGGAGGAGCATGTGAGCTCGGATTGTGTGGCAAAAGATAAAAAGTCTCCTGGCTGTTTGATTATCAGGAAAAAAGACGGTGAAGTGGGAGGTACTCGAAGGGGTACGATAGGCTCGTCAGAGTCTTTGCAGAAGAACCAAAAGAAGAGACCCAGGGTTATCACACACGGTTCAGGTTCGGGTGATGAGTTGCTAGAACCTTGTAAGAGGAAAGCTGATGAACTTAACAGCCCCATAACATACAGGAGAAGGGCTGAGGGGAATGATAACAAAACCCGAAGTAATGGGAAACGGAGTAGGTTAGATTTATTTGACTTTGATGAGTATGATGAATTTGATCAGACAGCTTTGAAGAATAGAAATGGAGATGGGATGGAAGGAGGAACAGGGAGCTCTAGAGAATTCAAAAAAGGGTCTAGTGGGGTAAAGGTTGCGGAAAAGATGAAGTTGAATTTGGATGACTCAGCCAATGCTTTGGGAAACAAAAATAAGGATTTTAACCGTACATCTAAGAGAAGAGTTGTTGCAGAGGAAGATGATGCAGATTTTCCCATCTCCATGCTGAAGTCGAAGCATAAAAAATCGCCAAAGGAATCCATCAGGTTGCAGGGGAAAAATGGGGTATTGAAGGTAATGGTGAATACAAAGGCGGAGTTGTCACATAAAAAGCACGATTGTCATGATTCTGGGAGTAGGGAACACTCAACGTCTAAGAACCTCATCAAGAAGAAGCTAGAAGTTCAACCTACAATTTGCTTGGGTTCTGAAAAGCGACATTTGTCTCTTCAAAGGGAGAAGAGTAAGATGAAATCCTGTAAAGTATTGGTGAATGAAAATACTCCAGCCAGTGATTCCGAAACAGATGGGGATGGTCAATCATCTAAGGTGGCTCCAACAACTACACCAGCTTGTAACTCATTGAATATAGTTAAAAAGGAAGAAAATAAAATTTCAACGGACAAAATAATTCCTCCCACTAATAAACAAGGAAAAACTAGAGGCGGTGCAAGCACTGAGAAACAACAACTGCGTGAAAAAATTAGGGGAATTTTGATGGATGCTGGATGGACTATTGATTATAGACCAAGGCGGAACAGAGATTACATAGACTCAGTCTATATAAGTCCTTCTGGAACAGGCTATTGGTCAATAGTTAAGGCTTATGATGCTTTTTTGAAAAAGTTGGAGGAGGATGGTGGTGCAAAGAAATCTGCAGCTCCTTTTTCTCCTATATCGGAAGATATAAACAAGCTAACGAGGCAAACCAGAAAGAGAATTGAAAGAGACTTGAAAAAAAAGAAAAAAGATCACAGTTCCAGTAAGGATAAAAAGAAGACTTCTGGAAAAGAGTCTGCAGAAGGTACAGACAGTGATCAGCATGATGAGCGGCTCAGTAGCTACATAAAGAAGAGTGGTAAGTCGCTAAAAGGAAAGCTTCATTCAAGACATCAAAGGAATGAGTTTGATACACACAAAATTGTCTCGATCTCAGAAGCTGGGAGACTCAAGGACATGATTGGAAAGTCCTCTGTATCACCTGCTGGCAGTTCAGTCCAGGGAAGAAAAAGTAAAATAACTGGAAGATGTACTTTGTTGGTCCGTGGTTCCGATAATGGAAAAAATTCAGAAAGTGATGGGTATATTCCTTATTCTGGGAAAAGAACATTATTGGCATGGATGATAGACTCGGGGACAGTCAAACTTAGTGAAAAGGTCCAGTATATGAACCGTAGAAAAACACGTACAAAGCTAGAAGGCTGGATCACACGAGATGGCATTCACTGTGGCTGCTGTAGTAAAATCCTTACTGTGTCTAAGTTTGAGCTCCATGCAGGGAGCAAACTGCGCCAACCATTTCAAAACATAGTGTTGGAATGTGGAGCTTCTCTGTTGCAGTGCCTTACAGATGCATGGAATAGACAGGTTGAGTCAGAACGTCAGGGTTTCTGTTCAGTAGACATTGATGGTGATGATCCAAATGATGATACTTGTGGTATATGCGGTGATGGAGGGGATCTGATCTGCTGTGATGGATGTCCATCAACTTTCCATCAGAGCTGTATGGGAATAATGGTACTTTTTAATCAGCATAAGCTCTGTCCATTTTTTTTGGCTTGCTTCATGCTTTCCCATTTTCTAAGGCTTGCATTTTACCCTTCCTTTTTTGTTACTTCCATAAATGCTGAGTTTGTCATTATGTTCTATGATAAGCATGTTGGTTTTACAAAATGAATGAAGTGGAGTTTATGGCCATATTAACGATCTCATCTCATTGTCTTCTTATGATTTTTGCCATGCATGTGAAAGAAAACCCATGATGATGACAGCTTTGATATTGCTTGTCATTATGCAGTCACATTTATTAAAAATGAAAGCCCAAACACACAAACAAACATATAACACGTTTAACCCAACGTCAAAGTTAACAAAGAAACACAAATGAGACAATTTAGAAATCTAGAAGCTTAGTCAAAATCTGGACTCTGAAAAATACTCTCCCCGGCCTTATTATTACTTTATTACTTACTGTCTCACAGTAAATAAAAAACAGAATCCCGCCTCAAAAATCGCCTCGAGACGCACCTCAAAACCCGACGGTTTTCAAATCGCCTCTAGAAAAGACAGCTATGTTTTCAAAAATCTACTAACTTACAGAGCTGGGGGTTCAAGGTGCGTCTCTAGGCGATTTATGAGGCAGGATTCTGTTTTTTATTTACTGTGAGAGTTTGAGACAGTAAGTAATACAAACTCTGTTCATAATTTACTGTGAGATATAGTTTTGGAAAAATCGCCTCGAGACGCACCTCAAAACCCGACTGTTTTCACAGAGCTGGGGTGTAGTTGTGTAAACTGTAAACATACAAACCATGTTTGGTGATACTTTTCCAAATTAATGTCTACTATAATAAGGAGTAATTTAAACATAGCTATCTTTTCAATCGTCATAATTTAATGCATCTATTTTGCGGGTTTTTTCATTTTTCTTCTTTTTCAAAAAGTTTCAAAAAGAATAATTGTGGAAAACAATCACAATCACAAACAATGCCAAATGCAAGTATATCTTACAATTTGGAAAGGAGCTTATGTAAAAAACAATCACATCTCTCATGTTTTCTCAAACACCTTGCGAAATGCAAGTACATCTTACAATTTGGAATGGAGTACTATTGGTTTTGTAGCATTTTTGTGATGACTGCCTTCTGCTCCTTGTAGATGCTTCCTCATGGTGATTGGCACTGTCCTTATTGTGTTTGCAAATTTTGTGGTATTGCTGATGAAAGTCCGGTGGAAGACAATGTTGGTACCACTGATCTTCACTTGTGCATCCTCTGTGAGAAAAAATGTAAGATGATATCGTGTTGGGAAATTTGGTTTAATGTTTAAGGATTGTTCTTTACGAGTTTTACTTTAATCTCTGTTTTCCGTCTACTAAATTCTACATACTTCACAGATCACAAATTATGCAGACAAGATTTGAAGACTAATAAGGTTTTACCTGTGAAGACCAAAACTTCATTTACTTCTTTTTGTGGGCAGACATGCCAAGAGGTATTGCTATTTAGATGCATATCAGATTACTAGGTATTTTCAGATTACATTTTTTTACTTTGGCAGAAATGTGCATCATCTTAATTCTTAAGGAATTGTTCTTTTACTTGCTGGCAGTTGGTATGCATTGTCAAATTAAAAGGACAGTCTCATTAGTAATTACCTGTTTTATCAAACGCTTCTGATTTAGAATCAAATTTGGTTGCATCTTTTGTATACTTTTAGAATTGTTAGTAAAAAATAAATCTATAGGGAGTAAATGAAACTCTGGAGATCATTATCATTCTCTTTATATGAAAAATAAGAACTAAACAACAACTTGGGTTCAGGGATTTCATCGTTAGTCATGGGTACACTCAGTTGCAAGCTTGTAATTTAGTCTACCAGAATCATAGCTTCAAGAAGATCCTTGGAAAAGGAGGTGTGCAAAATGAAACTAATGCTATCTTGCTTATGTAGATCTATGACCAATTGTGGAAGATTGTTGGAGTAAAGCATGAATTAGAAGCAGGATTCTCTTGGTCTCTCATCCAACGAACAAATTTAGATTCCGACACCTCACATTTTGACTTTTCTCAAAGAGTAGAGTGCAACTCAAAGCTGGCTGTCGCCCTGTCTATCATGGATGAGTGTTTTTTGCCCATAGTGGACCGGAGAAGTGGTATTAATATAATCCATAATGTCCTTTATAACTGTGGGTAAGTTTCAGGCAATTTTATGCATATATTTTTTAATAACTGCAGCTAGTTAAGACATACTACATAGTTTAATAAGGTCTAGATAAGGCTT